GATTCTAACTCCAAACGTACTACTACGATCTTGAGAAAAAGGCGAAACGAAAAGGAAACTGCGTTAAAGTACAGTCAACCAAACAACGTACTTTACTGGAAGTGAAACAGCTAACAGTCGATCCACTCCTAACATAAGACCCATTCCGGCTTGTACATTGAGCGCGAACAAGCCACATAAACTGTAGATGAAGCAATCAATATTTGGACGAAAATACCACTTTTGAAGCATCAATATACGCAATTCAACCTGAAGAGGGATGTAATCACTTTACGTGAAACCGGGAAAAATACCACTAGTCAGCTTTTTTTTGATTTCTCTATTCGGCGCTGTTCGGCTGAGAGGGGCATATTGCACTTTCGGCAGTTCCTTTTATTAGGTTGTCCGGAAAGTTCTCAGCGTTTTGAGTGTTTCACTTTAAACGATCATAACTTTCTTAATACTCATCGGATTCAATCGAAATAAGCACCGTTCGAATCAGCACACTTTTGCCAAGTGACAACAGTCGATAAATCCCATCAAAGAAAACTGGGTGGTCGAGAATCCACGAAATCCACGAAGGCTTTTTTGCCTGGTCCTGATTGATGAAGTATTTTCCAGCAAGGAAGTTCTGAAAATGTTGAAAAGGTGATAGTCGGTTGGTGAAAGGTCTGGAGAATATGGCGGGTGAGGTAGAACTTCAACCCCCAATTCGTTCAATTTATGGATAGTGATTTGTGAAACGTGTGGGCGGGCGTTGTCATGCAAAAGAATCGGACCCTTTCTGTTGACAAGTGCTGGCTGCAGCTTCAAGGCTGAAATCTCCAGAACGAAATTTGTCGAACCATTGTCGCACGGTGCTTTCTCCAACACTATTGGGCCCCCACACCTGGTTAATTTGTCGAGCTGTCTCGACTGCGGATTGACCCAATTTATAGTCGAAGAAAAAAATCGTCCGAAGTGCTCTTTTCACATGCTTGAAAAAATCTTGAAAAAAGGGGGTTCATCAAGCAATGGTGAAACGGCAATTATACCATCAGATAGCGCAAAAAATTCTCTTCAGGATGTACTACTGAGACGCAAGGGAGAATGAGTTTTTAATCAGCAATGAATGTACAAAAAATAGTAACACAAAACGCTGAGAACTTTCCGGACAACCTAATAGTTGTGTTCATTCAACAGCTTGTATGGCAGCAGATTTCCTGTCAAGTGAACGCGAGCTCGGCGCTGCATATCCTCACGAGAGTTTCAAGGAACTTTCAAGAAGAGATCTGTGTCTGAGCCTTACAGATTCTTCGAAAGTTGATCTGGCCAATAGATGAGATTGAAACAGCAGAATGCCCCCACCACGTAATAACTGGAGAGTCAAATGGTCTACACCAAGTCAAAATGGGTTCTCCTATAGAATCAATACCGTTCTGTAGTTCATGATACAGTACCCCAAACTAAGCGCAAAAGTGTAATCGTAGGAGCAGGGAATGCACGCGGAACCACTCTGTTTTCGCAGATATATTTTTCACCTGCGATTTCGGGAGTACTGTATCCCACCTGCTTTTCTGAAGTTTAATCTTGTATTGAGCTTAAAAATGTAATGCTTACATTACCAGATAGACACAAACGAAGAAATCAGAGATTGCGAGAATACAAATCAGAATATTACAACGGCTTTTCAGCGATGGTGACATTATGGTGGCCAGAATCACCATAGCATTTCCAAGTACACCAATCACAGACAGTGTCAGCGTGGCGATCACCATTGGCATGGGCACCAATCAAACGGGTGGCAGCGACATTTTGTGACATTTATGTCCCTTCCTAAGTGAATATTGGAGACCTAAAAACTGATTTCTTTCAAACAGACTTGTAAAATAGAGAAGGATCAGAGACGAACTGAGCCGGTTTGCCATATTAAATCTGTGCATAATTATAAATCTACAAATAGGCAAGGCAAAAATAGGCGGCAGTTCTGTTTGGGGAGGGGGCACATCGCCCTTTCGCTACTTCCCATCGGCGTGTCGAGCCAACAAGTAAAGAGATCTATATAATCTTGAGAGCCATAAAAAGATACCAGACGAACTTTGAAGATTCTACTTGTCAGCTCTTGTAAAAATAACCTGTCAACTCTTGTAAGGAGTGAACATGACGACGGGAAATAGTGAAGATGCGAAATGCTCCCTCCCCCCGAAACCGAGCTGAACCGAAAAATCCATTATTTCAACGACTGGGGTTGACATAATATCAGGTTTGAAAATGTTTGAGCTGTTGATGAACAAGGAACTTTTTGTTGTTGAAAAAAAAACGGAATTATTAGGGTCTCACGGTAGAGATTATTAGATCGCGTATATAAACAAGCCAATTATGTGTCAGCGTCTGGCAATCCTGAATTATTTAAATTTATGAAAATTTGTCTCTTATTTCTAAGAAGTCCTCTTATAGAAAAGACGCCAACGTGTCTAGATCATAAATTATACGGAAGTTCCTGAAGAAATGCATGGTCTTCTCACGCTCTGTTCGGCGAAGAGGCATTTCTGCACGTTCCCAGGTTGCTCTCGCTTGTAAATAACTAAGAGATTAACACGCGTGAATTCTCAGAAGCTGCGAAATGATAAAATTGAGCCACTTCAGTAGGAATTTACAGGCCTTCACAAGGTCACTTCTGGAAACCTCGCTGGGTAATATTCGCTGCCTCCACCGAGCCAACTGCGCACTTTCCTTGTCCTTAGCGAATGCTTTCGACATAGAGAACTGAGCTCCGCCAACCTCAGCTGCCCTCTGACCCGGGCCCGGGCTTACAAAGGCCGCTTTGGTCACAGTCTGCGAAAGCGTTCCACCTAGAGACAAATTTCACACTGAACGGCGGGGGGGGGGGGGAATTCTTCATGCATTGGGGGAAAGGATCCTACGGGCCCAGGCTGTAGTAGAAGGGAGGGCACGTAGTAAGTTGGGATCCCCAGCGAGAGCGGTCGTATTTAGTTACGGGAGGGGTAGTAGTTACCTTTGAGAAAAATGTTTTCGGCTCTCGACTTTCTTCAGTTTTTCCTGTTTCGACGCGCTTCATACCCACCCATTCAACAACAGCTTTTTTGGAGAAGAAAGGCATGCAGGTGCAGGGGATTACTGTCGCAGCAGTAGGCAAAAACCAGCAAAACATTTTTCACCTGGTTAACCTAACTTTCTCAGTTGTCCAATTAGGGCCTGTTGTAAATACTGCCCACGTCACCTTTTCAAAACGTAGCAGCGCCATAACAATTAGCTCCCTCACTACCCTCTATGGGTAAATTTAAACGGACGACCAAGCCATCTTTTCAGGCTCACGCGCGCTATCCAAATGAACCTACCAGTCAAAGTCCAGAGATCCGACCTTGAGTCCGATGGATAGACAACATGAAGACAGGCATGATTACCACGGACCCTCCGCAGCGGTTGTTCGAAACAGGGATCGTCCATCGGACTCAAGGTCGGATCTCTGGACTTTGACATGGTAGGTTCATTTGGATACGGCAACTGACGGAAAAGCCCTGCTGGAAAAGTGAACACGGCAACAATTGAACAAGAAGGCGATTAAAAGAAAACAGGTGCCTACTCCTGTTCCCTTCTCCTTCAGCCCTTCCTCTCTCCCATCCCCACCCACTCCTCTTCTCCACCGCTTGGCTGCAATATCCTTGGAAGGGTTGATAAGAGGGAAGTTAACCATAACTGGTCGCAACAAAGGAAAAAACCTTTGGGAATCGAGCATGAAAAAAGCTTTCACAGTTTGATAGTTGCACAATACTGCTCCTTCTCCGTTGGCGTCTTTCCCTTACAACACAGTAATGAGACTGCTCTCATGTGCCCCCCCCCCCCTCTCCCGCTCCCCCAATGTTTCTCTGAGCACACAAAAGGGATTGCGAGAGCGTGGTAATATTGCAACGGATAACAGTGTGTCCGAAACAGCTTCACGCATTTCGCTTCAATTCAGAATGGTGCTGGCTTATTGTTATGGCTTGTAGGTGGCCTACACAATGAGCGAGGGACGAGCAGTGGGGATGGTGGCAGCCGAAGAAGTACCAGTTCACTGCCTCCAAAAGGAAGGAACGCTTGGTTGACGTGGGACAATGAAGTAACTGCTGGCCTATGCCCTAACTGAAGAATCACACCTCAAATGTTCTGGCGGGAAATTCACATAAATAGCATTCTGAAGGGTTTCTGAAGGTTGTCGCAGAAATATGACTGCATCAAAAAGAGTGTGAAAGAATTAGAAGAGACAAGCCACTGAAGAAGCTGGTTTGCGTTAGGTGAACCGAAAACGTCTCTGATAATGAGAACGCCTCAAATTTGACCGCATCCGCTATTCTAGCCCCGCCTTTAGTCCCAAGTGTTTCTCCCCTGAGCGAACATAAGTGGCAGATGTTAAGGGTGTTATTTTGTGATAGTGAAAAACACTGAGTAAGACATTCCAGAAACCACGATTCTCGTTCTACGCAGTCTCAGCGAGAGCATCAAGTACATATTTATAATTAGCAGCTTGTGAAGAATAGTATTAATTTTTTCAAATATCAAATCATGTCTTCCTAATGTTTAGTTTCCTTCAAATGTTCTAAGTTCAGCTTGCGTGATGAAAGTAAAAGCATATAGACAAGAGGCGCACACGTCTTGAGTTTATCGAGTAATTGTGCGGTACCCGCAATCCTGAATGACCACAAAATTCGCGATGTTCGGTTTGAAGGGGCAGCTTGCTGATTCTTATCGGTCACTGATGATGCGTCTAGAGGAGACCTGTGAAGTCCTGTAAAGCTAGCAAGAATTTTGTTTAGCAGGAACTTCGTTCACACTTGACGAGAGTCTACAGGTTTTACCAGGTTAAGAGGTGTAGTCCAATCAGAAACCTCACAAAAGGAATAAGTGAGCGTGCAAAATTGCCCGCCCCCCACCTGAGCCGAACAGCTCCCAAATTTAAATAAGCTCATTCATTTTATGGAGACCCTTTGGTGCAGGTGGTTGAAACGAACCTACAGTCTCCTTCGTGAAGCACAATACCTAATGATGCTAAAAGTGGAGCCAACAGCTCTGGCTTGAAGAAAAGAGCGCCAAATCTGAAGTCAATGTCTTTCGCAATTAGAAAGCCTGGATCGTCACCAACAAGGTGTTGCTTTTCTCGTTGCTAGAATATACGGAGGAGAGGATTCAATGCTTATCACGCAGGCTATTGCTACGTAACCCCTCCCAGTTAGTGTCAGTACAACGTCTCTCCTTAAAGGCACAGTTCGCGACCGCAAATTGCGGGAAACGGAACTCAAATAGGCACAAAAAAGTGCTAAGTATCTGATTAGCGGAGAAAAGCAGCAGAAAAAGCAGTCCGAAATGTTATAGAGAAAGATAACATAGTGGCTACTAGCTAGTAGCTAGCAGCCGGTGAGGGTCGGCATGGGCCTAAGGGGTGTCCATGGGCCTAATTAGTCAGCTTCTAGCGGAGTTCTTGCCGTTTTTCACATTTTGAAAGTAGCGCAGCCCAAAAATCGCCTTCCGGATCGTCCGACACATTTGAGAGGTCATAGCCTTATTTTTTCGCGGAATGTGCCTTTAACTTCATGAAAAAGGGAATGAATCGAGAGGAACATTGTCCAGTTGCCTTTCTTTACCTTCGGCGAGTGTCGGCACGGGAGCTGCGCTAGAATCACTGGAAGTTATCTCAAAGTTCGAAGGGTTTCAGCAACCCTCAGAAATAGCATTTTTTTAGAGTGATAGGGGCGTTCATGATCGACTGGAAAGTTTTCACGCGACAGTTTCTGAACTGGTCTTGAAGGAGGTTCTATGGCTTCCAATCTAGAAAATAGCCAATGGAATCTCTCGAACCCGCCAATTTTCTGCTTTACTTCACAACTTCCCGGGACTAAACGAAAATGAATAACTGAATACAAGTCATGGGACAAAACGAAATTCAATAAGTGAATAGCTAAAGATGCAAGTGGAGGAAACTAATGAAATAAATAAATAAGTAGGTAAACAAACAAATAAATAAATAAGTAAATAAATGTAGTGAACGTTTCAGCGGGCGTGATCCCTCGAGATTGACAATGATCATCTAGGAACGCGTTCTCTGAAAAGAGCAGTGAGCGCTAAATAGTTGTAAGCGCTCGGTGACTACAAATCACAGACGAGTCACGAGGTTGACTTCTACTCAGTATCACAGGATTACTTGAATTCACCTATGTAGGGTACCGCCCCCACTCACAATTCATCTACGGCACCTCTACGGATTTTACGCTCAAAACTGAACGCTTTCTGAGGTCTGGTCTGTAGCTTGGTTTGGAAAGGTCTGAAGGGCGCTGAAAGTAGATCATTTGATAGCTCTATTCGTGAAAAATTTTCAATGTAGGGATCATCTAATAATCCTTGTGAATTTCGTCACTTTCTAGGAAACCACAGATATGGTCTCACAGTACTGAAGTCGGCAGCTATGTACTCGTATGGCATAGTTATAGATGGGAGAATTCAGTCCGGACCTTTGCCCAAAGGATTGCAAGGCTTTTCGTCCAACCCGGTACTCTAGCGCTACTGCCCTCGCCTTGCCATCGCACACTATGTCTTTGACACAGCTTCTTATGGAAATGTCCTTAGCTGTTAGCTTCAACACAGAGCATAAATTAGCACTCGCGTGGTTGGTAAGGCTACCTTGTGTCTGACCTCTCTTTTGCAGCATGAAGGACTGACAATTACCTGTTGTGTAAGCCGCACCCCTGTAAATGCCGTGCTTCTGCTTTGAACCAGGTGACGTTTTCGTATG